GCAGCGGTTTATTTTTTGATAATGGAACTACCAATAATAATTTATTATCTTCAATTTGATACTGTAACATAACATAATTTTAATAGCTATTGCCTAAATTCCTTATTAATTACTCGTGGATCCACTAATACTCATTTATCAATTTCCACCATTTTTACCTCACAATGTTATTTTGCGAGTAATCTTTGCACGAGATAAAATACATATGTTTATCACATTTCAAACACAATTTCTTCATCACATGTCGTCCCATTCTTTCTCTACTTTTCTTTTTAAAATCGAATCCTTGATTTTACCTGTCAACAAGAGTAATCTTCTTATTATACTCGAAAGAGCTTCCATTTTTAGTATCTGGACCGTTTTCAGACCATATATGTTTTTTGCCTCGCTTTCATATGATTTAATCCTCTAAATCCGGTGTTGCACGGACAATTGAATTTGAGATGAAACTCGCATGTTTGTAGCCAACAATTGTTGAGTAAATGTAACACCCGGCTATTGTATAAAACTATTATGAGTATCAAATGCTTTTGTACTTGAAACGTTGAAGTGCAAAAATGACACAGAGGATAGAAATTAAATGATAAAATCCTCATGTTTGTACATTATAACAATACCTTAAGCATATCTTAAGCAATATGTGAATCATCCTTGTCTATGATGTGAATTCCTTCACATTCATTTCCTTATATATGATGTGAATTCTGGTATTTTCAGAATATCAATAGATTTAATATTAAAATAATAATTATTATTAATAATTGTTTTTTCCTTTTAGGATAGGAATAGATCCTTACATTAGTTCAGGCAGTGCCCAATCAGATTCATCATGTTCCACGCCGCCTTCTTCATTAGCTTCACATTTATCACACCTTTCCTTACCAACTTCGACTGGTCCTTCAATAAGCACACCTTCATCAGGAGGAATCGCAATGCATCATGGGGAATTACCTTCGGCGGCGACTGTTCTTGGGTCTTGGGCATCCGAGGCACAAGACTCGCCGACCTGGTTTCGAAGGACATCACCTAAAGCCGACACGGGTAGGAACAAGATAACATAAGATTTTTATTTTATAACTAGATGACCTGACAGACGTTGTTCTGTACCCATGTCTACCATTTTTTAATATAATATACTAATATTTACCGTTTACCTAAAAATAATAATTATTGTTTTTTAAATTATTCTTCACTCCAAAATGCATATACATTTATAACATGAGCGATGTTAAATGTAGAACTGCTTTAAAAAAAATGATGAGTCTCAATTCTCACACTATATTGGAAATTGAAGTCATGAACTGGTACTTCATGTTGGATTAAATTAATTTAATTTTTTATTATTTAAGATATCCAAAATTGCAACTTAAACTTCTCCAAATATGAGATTAAATCGATATCGTGAGAGCCGAATTGTATGTATTCATCTTTACTTTCCCATTAGTTTTTATAAAGTGAAATTTTTACGAATTTTAAAAATATTATGGAAAGATAAGTAAAAGATACAAAGAAATTATATATTGAATAAAAAAACTATATTGAAAATTTTGTGTTGGCGCCCCCTAAGGCGTGCACTCGTATTTTTCGCATGCATCGCATTAAAGGTAGGACCGGCCATATTTGTCAAATTTGGTCATATGTGTATCATTTAATCTGCCATACATATACTGTATTTCATATTATTTTAATTTCTGGCACATCTTAGCTGCCTTTTGGCATTAATAATGTAGACATTTTATTTTTCTTATTCATAATCATAAATTTATTATATAAATTCTAATGTTGTCTAGGTTCATAAGTAAATTGAAATTTTTGGCAGATAATAGTTTGTATTATTTTCAATGCAAACAATGACATGTCGTTGTTTACATTTTTTTCATTTATTTCCACATTATTGGACAAACATCCCAGTACTTTATAATCACATACATCCTAGAAAATTTTCTTAACAAACTTCAGAAAGATTTATTAAAATCCGCATAATCGTTTAGAAGGAATATACAGTGAGTGCATGTAATTTAATATGAATTTTATATAATAGCAATAAAGATAAAATTGATTCTACGTTTTAGTTAGAAAACGTTTGTATGAGAAAAGGAAAAGGACTGTTTTTAGGGTTTTCCAGGCAATTATTCGATTTGTTTCTCGCCGTAAGAACCGTCCTTGGACATCCACGACCATTTAAAAAAAAAAGAATTGGTCAAATTGGTTCAAGCGTTGTTGAGTTATGCACTTACCAACACATTTTGCGATTCATTTTTATATATAAGATTATTTTTATTATAGGTTTTATAGTGTTTATTTTATTATAGCTACTGCTGCAAGTATTAAATCGGAAGTTCGAAGTCCTGGTTTGGTGGATTCTTTAGAAGCCCCAGTAGCTGGTTCTTCACTTGGGGTTTTAAGTACGTCGGCTCTTGGGGTTTCGGGGATGGAAGCGACGGGGCTGTATTGCGCAGGTCCTTCGGAAAGCATGGCCTACGATCCTACTAAAGATTATTCACACCAGGCCTATCAGTATTACAATAGGTAAATAAAATAGTTATTTAATTATTTTAATTTTATTTTCAATAGCAATCAGAATACATGGCAATTCTATAAGCTATTTGGCTTATGTCATTCACTCGCAAAAATACACACACACTTTCAAACACACATATAAATTTATATGATAAATATCACATTGATATTTAGAGAATCACTTCAATAAGTGATTCTGATTCTACTATTCTGTTCACATAAAGTTATAATAGTTCTAAGGGGGTCCTCCATATTATCTTTGGGCAACTTCTTTTTCAGTCTTCTTGAAGTTGGTGTCTCAAGAAGTTGAGTGACTATAGAGTTTGTATGATGTTCTAGTTTATGAAAATGTTTGACACTGTTGATTTGTATAATTGTATAATTCTGTTTATATATTCAATAGTTATAACCAAGTTTACATACCACATATCTATTATTATATTACCTATGTGTTTATTATTTTCAGTATGCAGTCGTATGCCAGTAGTTCCTATATGTCCTCGGCGAGTAGTGCAGGCGCCAGTTTTTACGGGCAGACCAGCGCCTACGCGAGTTACGCGACACCAGCCCGGCCTGGCGCCTCGAGCACGGCAACGAGTAAAACGGCGATGCCGCCCAGCGCTACGCCGTCCTCGTACCTCACGGCCTATCATGCGCACCACGCTACAGGTGATAATAATAATAAACTAGTGGTGCATGGCATCGTGCCTTAAGGCAAATTGCTGGAACTTCCCGTACCGTATTGAAATATTCGAGAAATTTTAAACGTTTTCAAATATATTATTACAAATACTGTAACTTTCATTATTTTTGCAATCTTGTTATATCTGAGCAAATCAAATGTAAATCATAAATCAATTTATCTCCAGAACATTAACAATCGTCATTTCATTTCGAAATCAATTTCAAAAAAATAGTTGCCAAATTTACACAAAATTGAAAAAGTGCTCCCGTATAGTCGGATTTTCAAATAATTCTGTGCGACATTTTCACTTATACTGTACTTACCTTGGTGGCATTTTCACATTTTTCAATAGTTTTCACAAAATGGGAAAAGTGCTTCAGTACAAGTCTAAACGCACTTGGGTAAACATTTGTACCAGAGTGGCGCTTAGACTTTGCTTAGCCTGGGTAATTTTTTGAATTTTTGATCCAAAGTTACAAAAATATTTGATAGAAAATAAAAAAAGATGTAACAATTTTTTATCCTCAAAAGCAATTGTTTTGCCAATACAAGCACAAAGTTTTTTAGATCATTCAAATCGGACGCTTAGTTCACTCAAAAACTGCCATTGTTTGCACACTAACTCTGTATCTTCAAAATTGTCTTTGCCAAATTGTCTTTGCCAAAAACTAATCACCACTTCCCCCCATCATTACAAATTGAATGTTTTTTAGATCATTCAAATCCGATACTTCGTTCTCTCACAAAAACTCGATTGGTATTTTCTGCACTTTTTGCTTCGTATTTCCGTAACGGCTGGACCTGCCTTTGCCAAAAACTAATCAGCACATCTTCCTATAAATAATGATCGAATGTTTTTTAAACCATTCTAATCGGTTGATCCGTGCGCCCGTAAACATGGACGAAAAAATGCGGACATACAAAACACACACACACTCATCCATTTTTTTTGAGGTATGCCAAAATGTTCAGAAACCTTCAAAACGTCGAGAAATGCAAAAATTTTCATTTTCGATTTTCGGCCCATTACTATAACTACCCTAAGGGAAGTTAAATATTAATCAAATAATAATAATACAAATTGTTATGTGGATTTACTTTAACATTTGAGCTGGGTGATGGTTAACTTTTCTTTTGAAGTTCTCTAAGACTTTTTGAATTTATTCACTATCTATCCTGATGTTTGCACTCTTGATGGATTGATCAGTTTAGAACGTATCTCCGACATACTAGATAAAAAATTCTAATATTTATATAATTATATTATAATTATATATTATATTTTACAATTTGCAGGAGGTAATCCTTTCGCAGTAGGTGCAGCATCAGGCCAAGCGACGAGTACACATTATCCTTCCTATGAAACTGGATACAATGGCGCGAGTTTTGTTGGAGCATCACAAACCTTTAGCAGTTCTCAGCAGGTACATTATCTATTTATTTAAATAATTTATTTAAAATACATGCAGTAATATTTAATTAATAATTAATTACAGCCTACTGTAGATTATGGATATTCTAGTTATGCGGATACGCAATACGGTTATTACGCTCAAAGTTATAGTCCTTACGTGAGCTCCCTGGCTCAAGTGGGAGTGTGGGGGCCCATCCTATCATTTGACTACTGGATTACCAGGTAAATTTAAAACTAGTTCATTATTTAATGAATCAACAAGTGTTTAATTAGTTTGCCATCGATTCATGTTAGTTGGAATATCTCGAGGTAGGTGACGCACGTTTTTAAAATTATCAGAACAGCGTCCTGTCAACCTTAAAGTTTGTAAGTTGTGACAGGACATTCTTTATAAATCTGGATATTTCATTAAATAGATATATATATTGTTGTGTCCCTAATGAATGACATTGTGTCAGCAGAAAAGACATTAGTTTTAAATATTAGTATAGTAAAATATAGAATGTCTGATGGCAGTGGTTAGTATTTTTGTTAAAATATTAAGAAAAAAATATTTTTAATGTATTTAATATATTTGATATATATTGGTATACCTAAAACGTATTGTGTCTATTATCCTTTTAGAATCACCCACATCATCTCTAGCAATGCCAGATTCAAAGCCTCTATATCCTCTGAAAAATGAGACCCGTATTTCAAAGGCTAGAAGTGAACCTTATTCACACAACCTGAATCTAGTAAATCAACAACTAGTTCTCGAGGTCGAGGGAGGAAACAAAACGAGCACATCACCGACTACAGGGACTATTTCTGCATCTT